AGCAGCGACCTTTTCCTCGTCCTTTATTTCAGATGTACCATAGAAAGGACCTGCATTGCTCATACTGCTTTCTTGATGTCTTGGTGAGTCATATTTTCTAGCCTCAGTCTGTTACATTATGATCAGTTGGGTTACTCTGAACTTCTGGCTCAGTCCATCTTTAACCCTCTTGGCAAACCAGTCCCTTTCTTATTATAGCTTTCCCCTAAGAGATAGCTTATCTAACTGACACCGGACCAAAACACTATTAGATTTTTTTAAAAAAATCAAGTCCAAGATGTCAGAAATTGCATTGAGATTAACCTAGCATTTGCTCCTAAAAATTGCCATCTTGCTGTCACAGAAAAAGGGAGCTAGAGAGAAAAGTATTATGTCTAAGAATAATACAAAAATGACTTACATTACATACCCAATTTAAAATATTGGAATGATAGTATATTGAGGCAGAAGTTTATGGAGATTTTTCATCTTATTTTATTTCAGAAATGCACAAAAACTACCTGAAGCATTCGGCTTTCCAGCATCTTTGGCAGATTTCTAGGTGGAACAAGATCAGTATTTTTAGCTGCTGTTACTTTGCTTTGGTGGGTTAATTTTTAGATTTTTTTTAAAAATCCTGCCTTTAATTTTTTTTAAATAGATAACTCATGCTGAATTAGAGTTGGAAGGGACCATGGAGGTCTTATAGTCCAAACCCCTGCTCAAGCAGGAGACACTATACCATTCCAGGCAAATGGCTATCCAATATTTTCTTAAAGACCACCAGTGGAGCACTCACAACTTCTGAAGGCAAGCTGTTTTATTGGTTAATTATTCTGTCAGGAACTTTCTCCTTAGTTCTAGGTTGGATCTCTCTTTGATAAGTTTCCATCTGTTACATCTGGTCCTGTCTTCATGTGATTTGGATAATTGGTTAATCCCCTCTTCTTTGTTATAGCTTTTTAACTATTAGAAGACTGGCATCATGTCACCCTCTAGCCCTTCTCTTCATTAGACTAGACATTCCTAGTCCCAGTTCCCATTCATTTGTTTTAGCATCCAGTCTTCCTTCTTTCTCCTCCTGTTTTGCCCACAACAGCCCTGTGAGGTAAGTTGGACTACAAGAGAGCAACCAGCCCAAGACCAACCTGAAGCAGGACAAGAACTCATTTTTTTGTTTCCAGCTGGGTGTTTTAAATACTAGACCAAACTGGATTTAGTTCTCAGATTTCTCCGGATTGTGAATATGAATACACACACACACACACACACACACACACACACATATATATGTATAGTGTCACAACCCCTGGTATGCCCCAATTATGGGAGGAAGCTAACTGCTTCCATTGCAAGAATCCATCACGACAGAAACCCAATATTTTTTACTGTTACCTTTGTACTGTTGCCTTTGTACGTTTGTACAAAGCACAAATACAGCACAAATACAACATATATATATTTATCAGCACAAATACAACAAATATATATATTTATATATTTATTAAAGGAATAATAAATATATATAGAAAATATATATATATATATATATATTTATTCATTAAAGGAATCCCAGACTGCAATATTAAATGAAATTACTAACAAGAGCTCCATTACACTAGGGCAATGGTTCCCAATCTTTTTTTGGCCATGCCCCACCTANTTCATGTGTTGGATGCCGGGCCCCGTTGTGACTGGTATGGTTGCAACGGGATCCGGAGCCCACCACTGACCCAAACCCTAGAGATTTCAGGCTGAACTCACAATATTTGTATCTAGAAACAAAATTTGGGGAGGTATTACAACAATACAACAAACAAGACAGAAGATACTGATTATGAAATCATTTGAAAATTTATCATGAAAACTTTTAAAAAATCAAGTTCAATTATTAATTTAAAGGAAATAGATTAAATAAACATTAAATTATATATTGCATTTAATTACATTGACATGATAAAATATCAAACTAGATCTTCCATATTTTTAAAACAGTCTAGGCTTGGTACTTGGACTGTGCTCTGTGTATTATTTACAAAAAAAAGAAAAGCTTTACATTTCATAAAGGTACAGTCAGATAGCCAATGAAATTCTAATTGACATATTTAAAATGTTTATGTATATCCTTCATTCAAAAAAAGAATAGCTCAATAAACTAATGTAGATAAAAGCAAAACAAAATCCAGCACAGGAAAAAAAAACATATCCCTATGCCTAAAAAAATTTCAAAGAACAATTTTAATGTGACAGAAACAATGTATTGCAATTATATTTGTTGAGGATGCAGTATTTTCTTTGAGAAAATATATATTCTGTTGATCCTCCAAGTATTCTTCAGCATTAGCAACCTTCCTGGGAAAATTCCTTCTGATTCACAAGATGATTAATGAGAGCTAGGATCTAGGCTTGGATCACTCAATGTTTCATTGCCTTTCTTAGAATCTTTGAATGTCACAGGAACACTGGTCTAAATGAAAGGGGAAAAATCAGCGTTATTTGCAAGCTAACCAGCTAAAGAAATGTATGTTCTTTAGCATGAAATAGACAAGAGGCACATTTAGTTTATAATTGTTAGTATGCAGATCATCTTATATGGGACTTGATGGGCACACAATTAGTCAGCATGCTGCTATGTATTTACTTTTCACCACAGGGAAGTGTAGAGTTTTTAAACAGTTGCTTGGATGCATATATGCTAAGATTTAGCCCAAAGGAAATGCTATGGATGGGTAACAATCAGACTTGGAAGGAGTTACAACTGAAGAACAAATGTCACAGCTAGCAGTTCTGCTAGATATACAGCAGGGTCCCCAACTCCGAATGGGCTGAGGCCCATTCAGAACCAGGCCACAGAAGTAGCAAGTGAGTGTGTGCATGCAACTCCATTTGTGGAAGTGGTGGGCGCTTGTGCTAGCTGACATGTGGAACCACCACTTCTTGCCTTCCCCCTGCCAGTTCGCAAAGCCGGAAGGGTTGGAGACCGCTGGTTTAGGGTGTCTGACTGTTATCTGCGTCTAATCACTTTTGCCTCTTTGTGGAAAGCTTAGAATTATGGTGTTAGTCATGCACTGATGTCATGCAGATTAGATATTACAAAGGATTTTATGCTGCTTTTAAGGACCGTTAATAAATGTCAGTTGGATCAGAGAGCAGCCAGTTGGATGCATGTTCTGGCCAAGGATTAGTAGTACAATGTACAGCTATTTTATCAATTGCATTAGGCTGCAATTTCTAGGATCAATGCTAGCTCACTGAAAGAAAACATCTCAGGTGAGCTCCAGAATTGGAAATTTTATGCAAGTCTCTCCAACATTGGTTTAGCAACTCTATGTTAATGCAAGGGAATAAATCCCCTTCAGAATAATTAGGCGTCTCAATGGAATACATTAATATATTTAGTCTTATTAATTAATTTCTTATTATTAATTTCTATCGTTCCTAATATCCCCTTCAACTAATAACAAAATTTGTATAAGGAAACTTAATTCTATAAACCAGAATATGCCAGGCAGGCTTTTGAATTTATAAAAAAATAAAAAAATAAAAAACCTCACAAATCAAGTAATTGGTTGGTTCACTTCCTTCTCCTAAAGTTTCCAATAAAAATGACTATAAATTAATAAGAGAACAGTAGTTTCATTTCTCTTGAAGCTAGTAACATATTTTCAAATTTGGCAATAGTATAAGGTAAAATTTATGTTTGTTTTTTTCAAATTTCATTATAAAATGAAAAGTAACAGAATATGAGACAACTTTTGGACTTGCACACAAGTATATATGGGATATTGAGGCACTTTTAAAAAGTATTACTGTAATGTACAGTATATACTTGTTATCAATTGATATACAATGTGAAATATTTATCTAGACTTCAGATTGCAGTATGTTTGGCTGCTTCTTGTTACAGGCTTAAGCAATGCAAGTACTGTGTAGGCTTCCGATTAGAAAAAAGCAAAGCAATTGCAATCTTCAATTTTTCCAACACTATTTTCGCAATAGTCTGATGCGTTTTATATACTTTTTAATCAGATAATTTTGCTAAGGCAATTATTTTACATTCTAAGAGCCAAAGCAGATGACCAGCCAGTTAAAAGCTCAAGGAATTCTCCAGTATTTCAATATCATATATCAAATTATAGGGTTCTGCAAATCATTGGAACAAAGCTTGCATGCACTTTCCCATTTTCCAAGGGAAAAAACAAAAAAAAATTAACTGAACCCACAAATAAAAGCAAGAGGTAGCCAACAGTAGTTTCCAAAGCAATTTTGCAAGCCTGGAAAAATATAGTTTTTAATTATTTAAATAAAAAATGCTTTATATATTCTTCTGTGCCTTTTTGAAAAGATTTGCAGAGTCCCCATTACTTAATATTTTTGAAAAGATTCTTCTTACCTCCTGAGGAGTGGTTGGAACCAATTCTCCATGTAAATCTCGGTAATCCCTTAGTAATACAGTCGCTTGCTGCAATCCTACAATTACTGGAACAGGACTAATATGTTCTGTTCCTTGACAAATGAAAGCAGATCGATGTACGTCATCTGCAGACATCTGTACATTGGCTGGCATCATTCCTAACTGTTGTAGCATAATGTTCAGAACTAAGGTGCTCTGAGGCGGGGTAGGATTAACATGGACTGACTCAACAACCCCATTCCCTGAGGATGTGGTTGCTACAGAAGGTGGTGGTAGTATTAGGTTAAGAGGTGTTATATGAAAAGTAGGGTAATTAGATGTCTCTGGAATTCGACCTATAGCAAAGAAGAAAGAGAACACACTATTATAAGGGAACATGCTTTATGCCATGTAACTTTTATTATTAATATGCAAAAAGCAGTTTAGTACAGCCAGCTACTGTGAGTTTGGAGAAGGTGGCAATTAAGCATAAAGAAGCAATGGGTTTTAAGAGCTATTAATTAGATCTGACCAAACCTCTATGCAGCCAGAAACTTTCATCTATAAAGTCATTTTATCTGGCTTCATTGCCTTAAAACCTGTATTCTTTAACTGCTGATAGAAAATGTCAAAATGAATTAACTTTGGAAAAATCCTGTGATATGATCAACGTATACTTACCTAGATTAGCGGAACTAGAGGATTTCTTTTCCACTGCACACAACTCTGTTTCCCCCTTACTGGTTACAGCAACGTCATTGGGGACCTAAAGTAAGGTAATAGCGGGAAGAGATAATTGGACTAGAATTCATAGTTGCTGGTATTTCCAACAAGTTGTAACCTTAGTCTGCATGTAACAGAGTATAAAACTAAAGAACAAAAATGAGCATGTATCTGTATTGGCCAACATTGCTTTCTCCTGCATTGATCTTGAAGTTATTTTCATACTTTAAGTTGGTATAAAAAGAAAAATCATTTGAGTATGTATTATTAAACTACTGAGCCTTTCAGAAGAACAATATCTAAGTGTATAATGTCTGACAGAGAATGTGCCTTTGGTTTAGCACTGTGATAGCGAACCTATGGCATGTATGCCAGAGTTGGCACGCAGAGCCCTCTCTGTGGGCACTTGGCTGGTGCCAGTTGCTCTTCTGGTTTCTGGTGCTCACATGCATGCCAGCCAGTTGGTCTTCGCAGGTGCCAGAAAACAGCCCCAAAACAGGCCATTTTTCAGGCTGCTTTTGGCTTGAAAAACGGCCAAAAAACAGGCATGTGCATGCCAGCCAGCCGGTCTTCGGATTTCCGGCATGTGCGCATGCACACAAGTTCCGGTTTGGGCACTCAGTGCCGAAAAGGTTCACCATCACTGGTATAGCAGCTGCAAATCCTGGAGGCATTTTGTGTGGTCTGCTGACTTGATCATACTGAAAAGTATCTCCCTACTTCTGTTCGCATCTGAATTTCACTTCTCTGGGTATATTTTTATTTTGCTTAGTTACTGGTGAAATTAAGACTTCCTGATTTACGTGAGAAGTTACAGAACCCTGGTGGTTTTTATCATTAACAGACTTACCCTGAAATATATAGAAAATCAGAATTTTGCTTTAGAGAGCTCTGGTATGTTTTAAATATATAATATTTTGGTTGCTTTTTTCACTTAGAAAACTATTTTCGTGGGCAAGAAAAAATAATGCAACGGAAAGGGATTGCAACAGCTGCATTTATTAAAGCTTTCTTCTGTGATTTTTCTAGTATTGTATGTAATTTAAGAATGACTTGTGAAATGTTGTTAGGTTTTTCTGAAACAGAAAATTATTTAAAACATGGAACAATTGCACTTAAAGATAGCTTACCAGCAGTGAATCTTGAAGCTCCACCTTTTTACTCTTGCATTTTTTAATTGGACTATCCTCTAGCTGCAACTTAGATCTTTTAAAACATTTCTCAGATATCATGTTATCTGTTGTTCCACTGGGTTCTTTAGTTAGCCAGAGTTGCAGCTCTTCAGCTTTTTTCCAATCATTAAAACTGTCTTTAGTAAATGTTTCAGTAAGAGCTTCCATGGGAGTCTTAATTTTAGTCACATGAGTAGTAGAAATAGGATATACCATGTAATTTGGGTATGTTGTCACTAGTTGGGACGGATTCAAATATGCTGCACAAGGTACAGTAGAAAGGACAGGTGGAAGTATTGAGTTGGAGGTCGGGGATAAGTTTGGACCTTGAGAAGGCAACAAGACTGCTTTGGGCTTCAAACAAGATTCAGAAGGTGACGTGTGCTCCAATTTATTTTTTATCGTTTCAAATTCCCTAAAAAAAAAAGTTATGTTTAATTAGTGTTAAGTCTTTAATCAAAATTTTCTCTGCTGTAAGTTTTCTCTGCTGGGAGACATCATCAATATTAGATCTTTTTACTTGGACAATAACACACACACACACACACACTAACTACATTATTAAGTGTATAAAAAGTCAATAGACTTCAGATTTTAGAAACTGTTATGATATTACTATGTCATAATTATGTTAACTGTTGGTATAAACAACAGCTATAAATGGCTGATTTCAACAGATAGTTTATTACATTAATTAGCAGCCACCATGCCTTATGTAGAAATATACCTTGATTGTTCATCTAATTGTTGCTTGCAGATTGCTGCAAGTTGAGCCATCTTGCTTGGAATAGTTGAGCCTTTATAAGAAAAGAAACAGAAGCATTTAACTTGCATTTTATTTAAAACCTAGCAAGCTTCGAACCAGCTTGAACCTCCTTCTAAAACCCATCACTGATAGTGCTGACATGGTTTGGCTTATGGTTTGGCTTATGGCCTTTTCTTATAATCTAAATTAGTGTCCTTGACACAGATTGTTCCATGAAGAGATGACAGAGAACTGTCATATATATTTCCTCCTTATTATCAATTTATTGTTATCTACCTAAGCCATTACGTTCTAATTTTTCTAAACCTACAAGTGCATCACATACACATGAAATGTAATTCCCATAAAACAAGGAGTCAGAAAGACTGCTCAAAAACAGACAGACTTGGAAATAGCATCCTCTGCTTCTGAAATATATTTACATATTTTGAATTGTACAGCAGGGGTCACCAACCCCTCGGCTGCAACTCAGTACAGGGCCTATTTGGAACGGAACACTGAGTGTTGGGCCAGCACACACACATGTAGTTCGACTTCCTTGCAAATTGAGTTGCACGTACATGTGCACTGGCACGCCACTCGTGTGGCTTACTTCCACTCTGCCCCGCCCCCCCCTTTCCCGGGCCAGCAAGCTGCAAAGGTTGGAAATTGCTTTTCTACAGTAAGAAATTCAGAACAAATACCACCATTCCTTATTTTAACAGTTTTTTTCAGAATTATGTGAAACATTTTGTATTCTACCTACCTAAATATTTTTTGACAGGACTGCCTGGAGCCGAGTGACTCTTTCTCTGATCATTTTCTTTACTCCTTGTCAGTTTTATCAAAGATGGATGCCTTGTGAAATGTGGTTTGCTATTAGTAGGGAAGAGATTCTTAGAACAACACTCTTTAAAAGGTTTATCTTCCACAGGAGGTGGCATTGCATCCAGTTTTGGCTGGGTATCTATGATACAATCATACACAGAACTCTCAACATTAATATACTATTGTTGCATTCTTTGTTTGGACAGTTATCACTTTTAAATATTTCTTTTAAAATGAGTAATTAGTCCTCTAAGTATGAATAAACCTGTTGATATATTATGTTAATATAATGACCCAAAGGAGAAATTAACCACCTTAACTTTGATATGACTTTTATAAGTTGGGAGTAGCACAATTGAGCAGAAATTAACATTCGTTCTAGTTGTAGTTCAAAAATAATCTAAGTTTAGTTCAAAAGTAATAATGCACCTACCTTTAACATCTGAAAAAACATTTGGTCCTATCCATTTAAATGCTGGCTTGCGGCCCTTCTCTTCTGTAATATGAACCTTCTTGATGAGTTCAAGACTACTAAGAACATTAGCAATATCATATAGTCTTCGAATTTTAGCTGAAATGAGTTAAAAAGCTAATGAAAAACACAAAAACAAAAATTCAAAATTGTTGCCGCTAGTGTTTTTCTTCCCTTTTCTGCTGCATAGCTACACCAGAAACATTTCAGTTTGAGGGATCTATGATACAAGGCCAAGGTGAACATTCAATATTTTGCATTCTTCTACTAAACCTAGTGTTTGTAAAACACAATTGTTTTTGTTTTCCTTTGGAGAATAATTGAATGGCAGTGATGATTTGAAACAGAGAAATAAAATTATTCAATGCAGGTTTTAGAAATATGGATTCTAAACCTTCTTCCCAGGAATGTCCTTTGAAAGATCACTCTCAATTCAGGTTATAATTATCTGGATGCCTTTTACAGCAAGAGGTCTATTACAGCATGCAACACTTCTGTTTTATTCAGTGAAAATTAAGAGGACTGAAAGTTTTTATAAACTAGGAATCTAATAGAACAAAGCACAGCAAGAAACCTAATGTGGGAAAGCTGTCCTCTTTGAAGCTAAGGAAAGCAACTTTAATAACCAATCTAATGCTTGTTATGTGGCCTGGACAGTTACTGGTATGTCACAAATGGAGTGTTGTCACTAAGATTTTGGCCAATTATCCTAGCAGTCTAACACAAAGACTGCTAGGCATTTCTACTTGGGGAAAAAAGCACGATGGTAGAACAAGCTGAATAGAGGGGAGCAGGTGGTTGCAGCAAAATGAACATTACACTCTTCAGCAATTTTATTAGGGTTTTATCCTGTCTAAAAGAAAAGATTTCTTAGAGATAATAAAGGATAATTTAAACCCCAAAGAGGTATGCACTTTTCTGAGCAGTACAATTATTCTCATTACATTGACTATAGGCACACATCTCATAATGTGGTTTGTTTTTAATCTCAGGATGTTGTGAGGGTGTAGCTTGTTTCATGTAAAATTATGGTTTGTCAAGCAGTCCACATGCAGCCATAATCTATATGCCATTTTACCATGGTGGTCCAAAATGCATATGCAGCCCCCTTAGTACCCTGCCACTGGTAACAAAACAGTGGCCAGCTTTTCAAGTGGGACTGAAAGCAGTTAACTTTCTGGAGAGCAATGAAGTTTATTTTTATAAGCTTATGGCTCACAGTGACTTTTTTTTTTAATCACATAAACTAAACCAGGCACACAAGGTAGTACTTTTTACCACTTACTTTTAAACTTGCTTTTATCCAGTGATTCACAATGGTCTTCACCAATCAAACTTTTAGCAGCATCTTCAAGGCTCACAACTTGGGGATATGACCCAAGAAACAACATTACAAATTTCTGGCTCATCACTCTTAAAGATTTGTCTTTACGACTATTTACTGAAACTGTAGAAAGAAAAGAGATAACCAAATATAGAAGTAAATCCAAATAACTAATAAATGGAAGACAGCATATTTCGCAGCCTGATTTTAGTCAAAAAAGGTTTAGTTCACAAATTACTTACTGATATTTGCATAATAAATTATGTATAGATAATTCTCATTTAGAAATTCCCTTGGGTAGTGACCATTTGCATTTATGGCAGTGATGAAAAAAATAATTTTGTGTCCAAGGCCTGTATTTATTATCCTCCTCACAGAACAGAAAGATTGTCTAAACAAACTATCTCTTCCTGGCTCATTTTTTCAGTGCAGTGCATTCCTAAAAAGTGCTAGCCACAAGTTAACAAGTTAGCTCTGTAACCTTAGTTGATTAGACCCCTCAGACTCTCTGGCACTGCTGCCTGATACTGACAAGACTCTAATCAGTTTTTCAGTAATGGCTTATTTGCTTCCTAAGCTGCTCATCAAGAATACACTAGGGAAACAGCTGGTGTTAGTATATTCCTTTTGATGTGTAGTCTCTATTGTGTGCCTACTTATTCTTTTGTAATTTCTTCTCCTCCATTGAATATAAATACAAATATAAATTCCTTTCTTACTAATTATCATAGCATCAAGGTGAACATTCCAAAGAATGCTGTAAGATTTTCCCTTTTACTCAGCTTCCTCAAGAATCAAGTTTTGGAAACCTTCCTGCCTTCTGATGTTTTAAGGCAAAGGAAAGCTGAAGTAAAATCATAAGCACTACTGTGGTCACATGATTGTTCACTTAGCAACCACTTTGGTTAACAAACCCAAACCCAGTTGTGATTCCTAAGGGGAGGAAGGGAAAAGATTCTGCCTAGGAAACAATAAGACAAGAGAGCTCCCCCCCCCCCAATGGATTAATGATCAGAGAACAAAATTTAGGAAGGACCTTCCCTAATTACCTGTCTTTGTTTTCAGCAAGATTATTTATTGATTTTGTAATATTTATCTCCGATCACATTCTTCGCTTCCCCCCCCCCCCCCGCTGACTCTGGTATGGGATCACAGTTCATATTAGATGTGGTTTTAGAAAAGGCTCAAGAAGGTTAATGGCTTTTAGGATAGTTTTGCAATTTTCAGTTTTTCTAAGCACTGGTGGCAACATTGCTTTTAAAAACATTTACTTTAATTAATGGATTATACTCTGCATTTTAGCAAATGGAAGTATAGGACATCTCCATCTATGAACATGTCTTTTCTAGAATTACCTGCTTGAAGTTCCATCCCAGGAAGTTCCACAAAGTCTGTATGATAATTTGACCCAGCATGCATTGACATCCATTCAATATTGTGGTCAGCATTTCCAAACTCTTGCCCATTTTTTCCTTGTTTAGTCAGCTTGATTTGTTGCAAGTACTTGTTTTTCTCAGCTACTTTTTTCAAAGCCTGCAGTGTTTTTTTAAGATTATGACGGCCATGCCAGGAATATCTGTTTTTGGCAAGCCGGCTCACCATGTGAAGACTTTCTAATACATTCATAATGTCATAGATACGCCTGCGCTCAATATCTGGAATGATGGAAACATCACAAATTATTTTTCAGTTTCTTTTTCAATCTTATCAGTTTCCTAAAGTATGCGTTTAAATACATTAACAAACAAAATACATGACAGGACTTCAATTACAGAAAATACAATCTTAGTGGTGGCTAGAATCTTAGTAATGGTTAGAATGCAGTATTGCAAACTAACTCTGCACACATTGCCAGGAGTTTGATTCCTTCAATCCTGACTGCCTCAAAGCTGACTCAGCCTTCCATCCTTCCGAGATCAGTAGATTGTTGGGGGCAATGTTGACTCTGTGAACCAGTTAGAAAGGGCTTGTAAAGCACTGCAAAGCGGTATATAAGTGCTATTGCTATCTTGTTCAGTTAACATAAGCATAAGACTTTTTCAAACCATCCAAATGGGGGTAGGTCTGATAAATTGGATATAAAAGAATATGCTTTTTAAGAGCATCTCTATAATCCCTGAAGAGAGAGATCAGAGTTTGTCAAAGGGGTAAATATCATCCCCCAAGAATCAATTGAAGCTCCAGGGGGTTGATAATTAGGAGTCAATAGGTGATATGTCTGGGGGAGGGCAGAGGAAATTTGTGGTTCATAAATGATTCAAAGTCAATAATGCTAGTCCCTAATTGTGAAGATGAAGTGGCTAGAGGTAAGACAGTGTTACCCAGGGTTGAGCGATCAGCTGCTGTAATGCAATGTATAGATGACCTCAGGGGAGGAAGGGAAAAGATTCTGCCTGGGAAACAATAAGACAAGAGAGCCCCCCCCCCTCCCAATGGATTAATGATCAGAGGACAAAATTTAGGAAGGACCTTCCCTAATTGACCAGGTGGTTAAAAGTGATGGTGGGAAGTTTGCGTCTTCAGACTCACAAGATTCCTTAATGTAGTTTTACAATAAAGTAGAATTAGCTCATCTATTTCTGTTTCTGTTTGGTTTATCTGGGAGGATTGACAGCCCCTAGACAGGGTGACCTTCAGTCGTCTCTATTTTATTATTATTACTATTGCTATTTATTAAAATAGTATCTATTAAATTATTTTCATATAACAAATATTTGGGGGTTAGGGAATAATTTGAAACATCAGGAAGAGGTCAACGAGTTGAAGAGTTTGNTATATATTTATTCATTAAAGGAATCCCAGACTGCAATATTAAATGAAATTACTAACAAGAGCTCCATTACACTAGGGCAATGGTTCCCAATCTTTTTTTGGCCATGCCCCACCTAAGCATCTCTAAAATCCTGATCCCCCCTCCTTGACATATAATTCTTACTTTACTCAAAAAGTGAACTCTACTCACACGGAGGAAGCCTAAAAGGCCATTAACTTGGTTTAAACAAGGTTTAAATTGCCCCCATTAAAAATAAAATTGCTCCCCAGGGGGGCGTGAGGCCCACGTTGGGAACCACTGCACTAGGATGGGGGGGGGGATTGGGGGGGGAGTTAAATTCAAAATTTCCAGATTTGCGAAAAAAATAATTGCAACAATAGTAAAAAATTCTAGCAATCCATTTCTCTCCATGTGGAAAAACCACCCTCACTAAACAATAGCAGACTGTACCCCTTAATGTTTCTTAGCAATACTTACAAGAAGGAAATGTATGTATCTTCTTGTCTTCTTTATCTTTTTGAAGAGACCAAGCCAAGATCCGGCTGACTTTAAATATTTTCCAGGAGAGGCGGGCTGTATTAGTTGGGACAGGGGTATGTGAGCAATGATACTGCTATCAGGTAGCTTAAAATAACTTGTGACAAAGCCTTGGATTGAACATCAGTTATGACCAAGTAGCAGAACAATGTGGGCCCCTCATATTACAGTCAATGCTTCCAACTGCAGTCATCTAGACAAAAAGAAATCAAATGAATCAATAGGACCCATGGCCTAAGCTGAGTTGTGTCAATTATAACTGGATCCTTAAAAAAGAAATGAAATTTACTTAGACAGACCACTCAGCTATAGAAAAGGTTCATTGCGGAAAAGCTGTAACTATGGTATACTATCATTATATGAAGACCATGTAGAAATTTGTCATCTGCCCAAACTGAATAGAAAAAAAATATCACCTTGATCATTTTTAACACCCAGAGATGATACTCGTCATCTGTTGCCACGTCTCCGCTTAATCAAAGGCTGTGGGAAGGGGTGTTGTTGTTTTTCTTTTGCTTCTTCTTGGAGACCAATTTAAGAAAAAAGAACTCCGCCTAAATGTTTATAATGACAGATTAAAACAGGTGAGGCAACCTAATACCCTTTAATTCCCTCAGCTCCAGGCAGCATGACAAATAGTATGAGACAAGTACAAAACATCTGGAGAGCATCATCTTGCCTCATAAATTAAGCCTAAACTAAATGTAGTAGTTTACTGAATTAGTCATGTAACCTTATCAATAAAATGAAACATAGTGCAGTCTAATTCCAAAATGAAATGGATCATTCAGTGATCTATTAAGAAGCATCTACAGGCATATTCAAAGAGTTAGGAAGAATCAGTAAGTCTCCCTTAGTTCATATTTACTCATGTTGACTACCATGATAGGAACAATGAAAGAAGACAGATATTGTCAAGCGCAGGAAATCTGGAATCCAGGCAGTTGAAATGAATATAGGTTTATTGCACACTAAAGCTCTCTACAGGAATCTGAACTACTAACATTTAAAGCAAATTGGCGGGGGATAACTGTTATGGAATTCAAGGTGGGCTGGACTTGGATCTCTTGTGGATGTGAAGTGACTCGAGACCGGTGACACACTTGACCCCTGGACTCAGACTGGTCATCTCCTACAGATATTTACGGAGGATGACACTGGCTTCTGATCATGTTGGTTATATATTGGCTCTAGCAGTGATCTGACTACAATCTATTTGGATTAGAGAATCCAAGTGAGAGGGTTAATGTCTTTTTGGAATCTCCCTGTAAACATAATATTGTATCTGATAGGCTTATTAAGGATTATGCATCTATTCTTGTTCGTTTAAATGTATATTTAAAGGTAATTTTTAGCCCAATAATTTCATATACTGTATGTCTACTCCAAAACAAGCCCGGTGAGTTCCTGAACCCAAGTACAAAGAATTGCAGCAAAGAATAGAAATCATATAACTACCATATTTTCCGGAGTATAAAATGCACCTTTCCCCCTCAATCTGGGTTATTTTATACACTGAATACAGCATTTTTGACCTCCCCAAACCCCGCCCTCTTTGCAAAAATGGCCATAGCCTTTTTGCGCGCGCACGCGCGCGCACACACACAGAGTCCCCAGGAGCACTCTATAAGTCTCCTAAAGGGTATGCATGCCCACTTTTTTGACAAAAAAACGGGCCATTTTTAGGAGGTCTACAGAGTACAAAAACTTTTTTAAAAAATTGCTTCTTCAAAATCTTGGTGCGTTTTATAATCCGAAAAATACAGTCTATGCAATTATGTTATTCTTTAAGGAGTTCAAGTTGTCTAATTATATATGATTCTTCTTTTAATTTTTATTTATTTATCAATCTAGGAATATGTGAGTATATGACAATTTTTTATATATTTTCCAAACTTGGACAGTCTTTTTACTTGCATCAGATATAACATTTCAGCTGACAAAATGCACTGTGCAAGTGATCAATGTAGCAAGAATCAGCAGAATACATCTTTTTCCCAAGTAAAACAGATAAGTACCTAAATAATATCATCTATACCAGTGTTTTTCAACCACTGTGCCGCGGCACACTAGTGTGCCGTGACATAGTGTAAGGTGTGCCGTGGGAAAAACACTTTATATAT